ACTGTAACATCACAGTCGGTGTTATGTTCTGATTCGCCTATTTTTCAGTGGTCTTTTGAATGCACGAGATTTACATGAGAAGGAGGAAACAATGGTGTATGAGGCTCACGGTATGTCATTTCCATGTACAGAACTGTTATTATTCAACTATGCCAAGGTAAATACAGTTTTACATTCTATGGCACCTTTAAGCTATTTTTATCCATTGTTATGTTCTGATTCGCCTATTTTTCAGTGGTCTTTTGAATGCACGAGATTTACATGAGAAGGAGGAAACAATGGTGTATGAGGCTCACGGTATGTCATTTCCATGTACAGAACTGTTATTATTCAACTATGCCAAGGTAAATACAGTTTTACATTCTATGGCACCTTTAAGCTATTTTTATCCATACAGCTTTTTAAGACACTGAACTGCTCGCCATTGATCAAGACAGCATCCATATGACAGCTCTGTTCCCATTGGGTGTAAAGGGTCACATGACTCCTCCTGACATGCACTGTTCAGATTCAAGTTGTTCCAACACCTGTATTCTATGACATTAAAGGATATATGCATCTATCTAAAGGTGTCACACACACACACTTATGCTACCATGTAAACTGAGCACTAACAGGCACAGTTGGGCTGCTGTAGTGGAGGAGGGTTATCCGTTAACCGGGCCGTTCCCTGGGTTCCCGTGGTCACGGCGGGATCAGTCTCTAAACTGTCCGACATCTTGTCGCAGATTATGTCCACCAGACGCTCAAAGGTCTGCTTCACGTTGATGTTGTCCTTGGCGCTCGTCTCGAAAAACTCAAAACCTGGTAGACAGAAACGACACCAAAACAGTTTCGATTTGAAACCTAGCGAGCGTTCAGACTAGACAGCATTTTAGGCATTTTACATGAGCAGCAATCTATTCAATATATTTATAAAATATATTCATATAAATTATATATTAATAAGTAACAATATAATAAGCCATAATATAAGTATATAAATAGTAACAATTCCAGAATGCAATTCTACAAGCTTAGTGAAAAAAATCAAAATAAATTCAACATGGCAGAAAAACAAGACATTTGATTATCAAGTATTATTATTATTATTCAATATATATATTATTTATATATTTATTGAATATATTCATATATGCTGCATCGTGCATGGCCTATTTGCACACTTCTTGATGCATTGCCATATATGCATATGGAGGCCAAAACCTGCATAAATAAATAAATAACAGAAACAAATAAATGGCTTAATAAAACAAATACAATTATTTTATATTAAATTTAGTCTTGTTTTTTTTGTATAAATTTATTCCCTTTATTTGATATATTTTCAACTTTATTTTTTTTCTTTCATTTGTATTTATTAATTAATTTAGATGTGAATTTATTATTATTTATATTTATACATATATATATATTTTTAATTTCTGCAGGTTTGGGCCTCCATATATGCAGGGCTCCATCTTTCCATCTGAAAACACATCACCCAATTATTTATACATTTCAACGTTATTTTTTATCCTTTCATTTATTTATTTGTTTTTTAATTGTTCTTATGTATTTATTTTTTATATTATTATTATTATTTATAATAATTTATTTAAAATTTCTGTAGGTTTGGGCTCCCATATATGCAGTGCTCCATCTTCCCATGTCCAATTATTTTTATTCTTTAACTTAATTTTTTATTCATTTATTTTTTGTACATTTTCATATTTGTTATTTTTTTTTTATTTAAATATTTTTTTTCTACAGGCTTGGGCCTCCATCTTCCTGTCTCCATTTTTTTAAATAAAATTATTTTTTAAACTAAAAATAAAGAAATAATCTTCCCGTCTGCAAACACATCGCCCGTTTAGAACGAATGCTTTATACACATCTCAGTTTTTAAAGGCCTGTTTTGGTGCCATAGCAACAGCAGACAGCTGGTGCAGATTCAAAGGGGGATCGTCACTGAAGCCCACGACACATTACAGTGTTTGGTCATGTATGTCGTAGCGATGCTGCAGAGACTGTGGTAAGAGTTGTTTCTGTGCTTCCCCAGCGTCCGTCTGGTTTAATTAGGTGTCAGTTCACTGACCGCAGCTGGACTCTCGAGTATCACTAGACTCCGCTTCTTCTCTGAGCTCATTTCTTACGATAAGATAAACTGTGACTAGTCCTTTGACTCTTTAGCTTGCAGAACTATAGGCTACTCATCATTTCAAGGAGTTAAACTACAGTCAAGCTACTATTTTTTTCTGAAAATCTAGAAAGCAACGTGACAAATTACTAACAAAAAGTAGCTATTTATGAGTGAAAACTCATTGTAATTTTTCATTCATAAATGTACATTTACATGAAATACATCTAAATAAATAGATAAATACAAACAGATAAAACTAAAACACTCCAGTTTATAATAAAAAAATATAGCGAAGCATTTAGCTACATATTTATTTATAAACTATCTAAATAATTATAAATTTCAAGTTCAATTATATAATATTGTTTATTACTAAATGTGGAAAGAAACTAAACGATTTCTATCAATTTCATATATATTTAAATGTATTTAATAAATAAATCAATATTTAGTAATTTAACATTTATCATTATTAATAATATCACATTTATTTTTAAAACATTAAAATGTGTATTTTATTAGAATAGTTTAGTAATACCAAGTAATAATAGTTTAGTAATAATCAAACTATTTAATTGAATGTGAAGTCTCATGTACATTTCATGTGAGGAGCTCTATTTTAGCATAATAAATTCATTACAAATAAAAACTGAAAACGCATGAATGAAATAATTTTTTTTAAACCAGTTCACTTAACTAAAGCTTCTTGAGAGAACATTCTGCTTTTTGTTAAATGTTTTGCAATCATTTACTCATTTCAGACTTTTATGGTGCCGCATTTTTGTCATTTACTTTTATTCTACGCAAAAGATCTGAATGATGACAGAATTTAATTTCTGAGTGAGCTACTACTTTATCTGCTGATGAAGCAGTATAACTGCAAATTCACCTCTGCAGCTCTGTCCTTTCAGTAAATTCCTTCTGTTCCCGTTCCTCAGCCTCCTTATCAGGATGTTCATTAGTCTGTCTTCTCACGCTAATTAAATCAACCTCTGCTCACTGACCACAGCCGAACGCCCAGCTGAGCTGATCAATAGGGCGGCATCAAGGCCCTGAACCCTGCTGCCCTTTAATACTAAGAGAAATTGAAATGACTCTTATTAAATATTAACCAGATGGATTCCTGAAGACTCAATGATGCCACTTTTCCTCTAAGGTCTCTTTAACTGCTCACAGAGGGCCGTTTAGTCCACCAGATTTACTCTCTTCGTCTTATTGTGAACGAATCATCAGTGTAAGTCTGTTTGGTAACACCTCTTAAAGCCTTCATGTATAATGCATTATAAAGTATTCATAATCTATGTTGTAATGCATTCTACATGCTAACAAAGTTAGATGTTGTAATGCAATTGTCTATATTATATATTGTGTTTTTGCTTTTTTGTACATTGTCTATTTTGTCTATTTTTATATTATTCTTTTTATTATCTGTGTCCTGTCTTGTCACTGTCATTCTGTTACACTGTGGAAGCTTCTGTCACTAAAACAAATTCCTCGTATGTGTAAACATACCTGGCAATAAAGCTCATTCTGATTCTGATTCTATCTTTTTATAAATAATTGTAACCAAAGTTAAAATGCATTATAATATTTGAAGGTTTGTTTGTCATGAGTTTTAATGCATTAAACTTTATAAAGGTGTAACAGTCATTTGATAAGTATTCAAATGTATTTTAAATGTGGTTATAATAATTCATGAGATATATATAATGCATTATAAGGTGCATTACAAGGCATAATTAATGCATTAAAATTTACAATGCATTATATATAAAAGTTTTTAGGTTTACTGTCTGTTTTCATAACATCTTATCAGAATATACTTTCTCCACCACAAAAGACATACCTATACTTAAGAAAAAAATCCTTAAATAATAATATGAATCAAAATAAAAATCATAATTATGAATAAGAAATATAATAATATTAGCTAATAATATCATGACCTACATTTCATGGTCCAAATGAATCAAAATAAAGTCCTACTTTACATTATTTCCCACTTAATTTAATTTTCTGTTTTACTCAGGAATATATTATTAAAGTTATTAAACATTATTAAAGTTGAAGTCAGTGTGAAACACTGAGCAGAGCAAAATATTATAATATATACCTACATTTAGTTTTGCACAATATATATATATATATATATACATTTCTTTTAGATGTTTTATTTTTATTTTTTTGATTTTTAGTGGTAGAGAAAGTTTTTATATTTAAATTAAAAGTTAGATGTTAGGAAAAAAACTAAATCATTCCCAATAAGACCAGGAACATTTATTATCAGAGTAAATAGTGTCCCCGTGTGTGTAAGTATGTGTGTGTATATATATATATATATATATACTGTATATTAGTGCTGTCAATTGATTAATCACGATTAATCGCATCCAAAATAAAAGTTTTTGTTTACATAAAATATGTGTGTTCTGTGTATATTATGTATATATAAATGCACACACATGCATGTATATATTTCAGAAAAATATGTTATGTTTATATATTCAATATATTTATTTATAATATAAATTATATGAATATAAATATAGACATGTAAATACATGTAAATATTTTCAAAATATATACCGTATGTGTGTGTATATACATAATAAATATACACAGCACACAAACATTTATTAAGTAAACAAAAACTTTTATTTTGGATGCGATTAATCGTTTCACAGAACTAATATATACAGTGGTGTGAACACACACACACACATTTAAGCCTTATAATGAGTCACTAAAGCACTGTAATGAGATATTTTTCTCTTTCCTCCGGGCTGTCAGACTCACGGCGTTTGTGTTGGTGGAACAATAACTGACATACAGTTCTCTTAAACACTGCAGTTTTGTTCTGCTAACACACACACACACACACACACACAATCTGTTATGCAGAAATGCTTCAACTACAGCAGAAGCGGCTCTGCGTGATCACTGTATGGCCGTGAGGATTTGTCCAGGGATTTTGGCTGCGATCGCATCTCCTCCTCCCACACGGCTCTGGGTCACTCACCAGTCCTGCACGGCTCCGTACGACTCCTCGTTAGTGATGTCATACATGAGGATGAAGCCCATGGCTCCACGATAGTACGCCGTGGTGATGGTGCGGTATCTCTCCTGCCCCGCAGTATCCTGAAAAAAACACACAAAACAGCTTTCTTAGTTTGGACACTCATTTTTAAGGGTTTAAAAAAACGGAAGCCAGTTTCCGCCACAGAATAAAAAAAAAATATTTAAAAAGAAGAAGATAATTGTGACTTTTTATCTTACTTTAAAGTCGCAATTAACCTTTTTTATCTTTTATTCTGTGACAGAAACAAAAAAAGAATTGTGAGATATAAACTCAATTTTATTATATTTATATTTTACTAAATAAATGTAATTATTTTATAATATATATATATATATAATTAATAATATAAATATTACTAATATAAATAATTATATATTACATTTGATTAATTTTTAAATATTATTTTTATTATATATTTTGAATTCTGAGAAAAAAGTCAGAATTGAGAGAAACAGTCAGAATTGTGACACATGACACATAAACTCATAATTGTGGGGAAAAGGTCAGAATTGTGCGATTAAAAAGTCACAATTACCTTTTTATTTTTTATTCTGTGGCAGAAAAGGGCTTCCATACTTTTCATCATAGTTTACACCAATCTTCTTTATTAATTTACTATGATATTTCAGCAGTAACTATGCTATTTTGCTAGAATTTATGATTCCTGTATCTATGATTTTTCAGTTGTTATTGGAGTACATTTTACAAGAAAATACAAGTTCAGTCTTTCTACTTAAAAATTGCACATTTAATTCAGTTTCAAAGTAAATTGATTCCACACCATTTTTTTTTTCAAAGTACATTGTAAAAAAAACAGATTATTGGAGTATGTTTACAAGCATATAGTATTTCAGTCTTTCTACTTCAAAATGTCATGTTTAATTCAGTGTGTTGCTTGCCATTTCTATGTAAGTATTTGCTAGCAATTTCTAGGTGAAAGTTGTTTCAAAGTAAATTCTACAGAAATTTCACTGTAGTAAATTATTGTATAGAGAATCCCAAAGCAAATTTGACATTTGATTGAAGGTATAATAGGTATTTCTTCATTTCATTTAAATATTCATTTAACATTTCAGCAGGCGTGATGAAGGAGAGTCATTTAACATTTAACGTCTTCCAGATTGTTCCCAAATTTAGCAGGGCCAAGGAGGAAAAGCGGAGACCTGCCAGGAGTTACCATGACGATCGAGCAGTAGCAGGATGCTTCAGTAGCACCGGCTGGGTGGGTGGATGCAATAGAGCAAATTATGGAGCTTAAAGGGTCGTATTTTACACTTTCGTAGCATATAATTTCTCCCAGCTGTCCAGTTATAATGTTAGTCAAGGATTCTTGCATTGATAACAGCAGAATTTATTTTACATGACCAACTCTACTTTCTCTCTGACTTTGTAATGATTGTTGGTTGGGTGGGTCTAGTTGCTGAGCACTGAAATATTACTAAATATTAATGAGCTTATAATGAGCTCAGTTTCAACCCTTCTACATATATATTATTTTTTGTAAATATCAATCTACATAAAAAGAGTACAAAATGAATGCAACATTATTTAAAATTTATTTATTTAAATATATTTTTATAACCTTTATAACTGCTTTACACAAAAGGTCACGGGAAAAAAAAGTTAAAAATATTTACACAGAAATGAATTAACATGAACACAATCGCCATACTGCTGTTTTACTGGAATTGTTGTCCATGAATGCTGAATAGACCGCAAAAACATTGTCATTTTAATATTATTCAGATACTATTAAAGTTTTTTATTTTAATCCTTGTTCATTTGAGTAATTTTTCTCTGTATTTGTTATTTTAGTACATAAAGTTAAGCTAAATGAAATTGAGAAATAATTCCTTGCCTTATATTTGCCTTATATATTTCCTTGAAATAAGTGAAATCAGCTGAAATACATTTTTTTAATTTTGTATTATTTAAAATAAAATGTTTATTTTAATTTCGAGTAACAAACTTTTTTTATGGTTTTAGTCTTGTCAACTGATAATAACCCTGATCACGAACCCCAACGGTGCTTTAAATTTCTAAATAAAACCAATCGCAACATATTTCACCTCTAAAATATGACAAACAAGCTGGAGAGATTGAAAAAGGACAGACTGCCGACATGAGCAACAAAGAAGCTGTTTCAGAGGTGGAATACGTTAGTACAGTCTTGTCACAAATTACAAAGACTTTTATTTTTATCTTTATATTAATGTGCATTGATGAATCAATAAGACTACAAAAAGACCAAGATGTGCATGTCAGTACATCAAGTCAATTTGGATTTCATATTGACTGTAAATAGTCTTCCCGTGTGCCACTAATACTGCCCTCTAGTGTGCAGCGGACCGTGACTAACCGCCAAAACCCCAATCCTGCTTGGCCTGCAGAGTGTGCGCTCTTATCTACCACAGACAGATCCAATGAGCCACCACCCACCTTATTCATACACACACACACACACACACACACTCACTCACTCACTCACAGAATGGCCAGCCATAAGATAAAGCATCAGGCTCCATTAGGAGGCTTTATGATGATCTACTACCGCAAGCAATTATAAAATGGGCTCTGAGCGTCTCTTTATGGCTCTGTGAAAGGCTTCTGTTTGGACACACACAGACTGAAGTGGACAGCTCTAATTACCGCAAACAGAGCCGCTGATAAGAGCAAACGAAATGCGGTCGCTCCCGGAGCAGGAGCTGGTCAGACTCATCCACGAGCCCTCCAGAGAGAAAAACATGCTCAGATTCACTGTCATCCATATAACTCATACATATAATATGTACCTATTATATGTATAATAGGTACATATAACTCCTACAGTCTGCTTGAGTTTAAATTAGAGCTGTCGATCAATTAAAAATGTAATCACATCATGATACACTTATTAATCAAACTGATCCCATTTTTCTGTCAGACAAGTAAATCACCAAATGTAATTGTGATTAGACAAAGTAGCTTTAGAAGTCAATAAATAAATAATGATCAAATACTAAAAATGCATACAAATAAATAAATAAACAAATCAATTCATTATATAATTCATATAATTCAATCAACATGTAAAACTGACAGTCCTTCTTAATAAAATCTTTATTCTCTTAAAAAACCTCACCAAATAGGCATAAGAATTAGCGTTAGAAAGTAATTAGTAAATAATGAATTGAAAAAATTAATAAAAACTAAATGATAAATAAAAACTAATTTAATAATATAAATAAATCAACATGACAAACTGACAGCCCTATTTTTCATAGTACTTTATTCTCAAAACATTTACCAAATAGACTTTAGAAAATGTAGCTTTAGAAGTCAATGATATAATAAACAATATATAATAAAATAAATAAGACAAAATATAATAATTTAAATAATTAAACATGTTAAATCGAAAGTCATACTTTATTCTCTAAACAAACATGAGAAAACTTAGCTTTAGCAGCCTATTAAAAATAATGATTAAATAATAAACATATATTTTAAAATTAATAATAAAATAAAAACAAAAAATGTTAATATAATTAAATTAAAATGTTAAATGACAGTCCTGATTTTAATATACCCAATTCTATAAAAAAAAATACAACATAAGAAAACATAGCTTTAGAAATCAATTACAAATAATTAAAATATTTTAAATAAATTATAAAATAAAAAATGATTACTGTTTTAATCAAATTAACAATTTACATTGACAGTCCTATTTTTATGTACTTTATTCTCTAAAAAAAATCAGACATGAGAAAACATATCTTTAGAAGTCTATGAAGAAATAAATCATAAAGTATATTTTAAAATAAATAAAAACAAAAAAATAAGTGATTAATGATTTAAATAATTAAATCAGCATTGTAAATTGACAGTCCTACTTTTAATAGTACTTTATTTTCCAAAAAGAGAGAGTGCTATAAAATGTGTGAAGCAGATGGATGATTCATGTGAGACTAATGCAAGTGGAAGAGCTTCATATCCGGCACACGTAATGCTAGTGAAGTATGACACTAATGTGAGTCAGCGTGAGCAGAGAGACGTCAATGTTAAAACTGCTCAGGGAATAAATCAGGATTAATACGTGTAAGCAACACCACATCCAGACAAAACAGTAATACAGTAACTAAAACATATGTGACCCTGGACCACAAAACCAGTCATAAGGGTCAATTTTTTGATATTGGTATTTATACATTACCTGAAAGCTGAATAAATAATCTTTCCATTTATGTATGGTTTGTTAGGATAATAGAACAATATTTGGCCGAGATACAACTATTTGAAAATCTGGAATCTGAGGGTGCAAAAAATTCATATTGAGAAAATCTCCTTTAAAGTTGTCCAAATGAAGTTCTTAACAATGCATATTACTAATCAAAAATTAAGTTTTGATATATTTACAGTAGAAAATTTACAAAATATCTTCATGGAACATGATCTTTACTTAATATCCTAATGATTTTTGGCATAAAGGAAAAATCGATAATTTTGACCCATACAATGTATTTTTTGGCTATTGCTACAAATATACCCCAGCGACTTAAGACTGCTTTTGTGCTCCAGGGTCACATATAAACTAACTATTTTGGTCAAAATTACAATATATGAAGTGATGAACATGTTTGGAAAAAGGAAAATTAGCTTGCTTTAAAAATAATTTCCCTGCCTCTAAAAACCCACAAGATGCTTGTAATAAATGTTCTTAGCTCAGATTCGTTGCACTGCCTTTTCTGTCTCTGACTCATTGGTTCGCAAACAAAAGGCTGAAATGATGTTCTCTAAAAGAGAGTGAAGATGATGGAGTCATTACTGTAACAGACTCAGATGTGGGACTGGTGCTGTTGAAAGGTCAAGCTGTCAAAAGCGCTGTGACTTAAAATGGAGACGCCACAAAAACCTCATACACTGTGACACAGGAAGAAAGATTTGGGGTCAGTGAGATTTTATATTGTTTTTGAAAGAAGTCTCTAATGCTCAGCAAAGCTGCATTTATTTGATCAAAAATATATAAGATTTTTATTGTGTTTTACACACACACACAAAAAAACTAAACTAAAAACTA